GACATCATCACATGGCCCCCAACTTGTTTTCCTCTCAAGATAACCTACCAATGCAGTCACATCGCCTTGTCAAAGACTTGGCTATCACAATAGAGGCCTGTCGGCCTGCAACTCTGGCCTCACAGGTATGGATGTCGTGCAATCAAAACCAGGCTGTGAGCGCCCGGGGAAACGGGAAGCTACCAGGTCCAGCATGCCGGGCGGGAGGACCTCGCTTGCGATTGGACCCGGCTCTCGTTTGGCATTGAGCAAACAACAACGGGCAACTGGAAGAAGCGCAACCAACACCAACGAGCATGATTGCCTTTGCTTGAACCCACTATTTTGTTTGTTGTTGTCTATCGGTCTGCGCATGGCTCCAGACCTTTCATTCGTGGGGGAGTAGACGGCAGCGTACTCCCTCGTAGGGCTGGGCACATTTCCTCCCCACAACACTCAGACATTCAGACAGACCGCTATTTTAATACAACATAGCTCATTGACAGCTCATCAGACCTACAGGAGTTTGCCTATGCAATCCACAAGGCAGAGTGCAGTAGCGTTGGAAAAAGGGCAATGGCGGGAAACAGAAACACATACCGCCAAAGATGATCAAGGAGAATGACTTAACTGCAGATCGGAGCTGCGGTTGAGGCTCAACAAGGGCAAGTCCTAGTCTGGACCTTGAGGCCGCTTGCCGAAAGATATCGGAACCCTACTGGGGGAGTTTCAGTTGCCTTGCGAGTTGCGTCTGTGTTAGTCGTTTAGATGACCCTTTGTCTTTGTGCCGACAAACTCAATTGGAAACTAGCCCTGCCTCTTGAGGGGTTCTGAGCCGTGTGGCTTGTTGGCTTGTGAGGTTCGGGTAGGGGCTTGCGAGGCAACTCCTTGTGAGACAATGTCTGTGGATGAAAAGTCCAGAGCCTGATTTATATCGGGTAGAAAGGCTCTCTGCGGCCGTCGCAGCGGGCGACAGCGTCGGTGGGCGGAAGTTTCAAGTCTCATGATGACGGCTCGTGAGAAATGGTTGGTACACAAGCTGTGTGAGACCAAGTCACGAAGCACAAGACGGGAAGCAGGCTCGACTTCGTATAAAATGCATCGAATAAAGGAGGACAAAAGAGAACTGGGGGGATGTGCCCTTTTAAAACATGCGCACTGGGCCAGGCGTTGCGTGGGAGTAAAACCGTTAACTAATAGCTCTTACGTGCACGATAAAATAGATATGCACGGTGGTCTCTTACGTGTAACCTTTAGGTGTCACAGATAGGGGCTGAGTTGTTGCACACTTGTAATACAGTGTTCTGCATCTTGTCGGGCACAGGACGACATGCATCAGAGCCTCCATGTCACTCAAGGATGTAGATCTAGTCTGGATACAGCGATGGTGTGTCACGGGAGGACAGCAGCATTTACACAGAAGTGTGTTTCAACACTTGACTGTCCAAATTTTGGAGAATCGCTAAGAACTGAGACAGGAGGCAGACCATCGAGCTGCGATAATGTCCACACATTGACAAATTGACGTTCAAAGTCCCTTGGGGGTCATGACCAAGCCAGCTGCCTCTTTCAGCTGGAGCATTGACTGGAATTGTCTATTGGAATTGATGATCTCCGCTGATTGTCCACATGCAACTGGACACACCGCTCTGGGGCTGTCAGCGTCAATGTGGTGGTCTTTGATGGTTCCAAGAGAGCTGAAAATAGCCGTGGCTGAGCTGAAGCTGATCCGGCCAGTTGGATAATCAGGGACCGGCTGTCATCATGGCTTATTGGTAAGAAAGGACTTTGGTAGTACACTGCTGACCACATCCGACTATACGGGAACTATTTTGCGAAGGAGAGCCATCGTATTTGGGCGTGTTAGACTTGCGACTCTGCAAAGCGTGTAGACGCTCCTAAACGCTGCTGACCATACAAGGCGCCCGAAAGGCAACCAACAACTACAGGGAACAATGAAACGAGGGCTGCGTCTGCTATCCCTTCGGCTGACCCGTCGGTTAATGGAACTGCTTCAGGGAAGCAAGGCAGCCAAGCCATGACCTTAGTTTGCTCTAGGCGGGCAATCAGTGAGTTTTATATTGGCAGGAGGTTAGATTCTGAACAGGGAGAGAGATTGCTTCACTTCCGGCGCTTGGGACACCATTCCAGACGATGGGCCACATCAATTGGTCCCCTTTCATGGGGGCGCTTACACTGCAAGTCATTGACAACCTGCATCCCTCGCTAAGGTATGAAACGCACCAGTTTGGGCTCCAAGAAAAAAGAAGACACCAGTACAAGGGCGTCTTTTCTCACTCCCTCTAATAAATAATTGTTCTGAAATAAAGATATTAAAAATAATAGATAGAATACTTATAAAGTAAATATTCTTATGGTGATTCTTTTCTCTTAATTACTAAGTATCTTTATGGGTTATTACGCGGTAAAATCAGAGTCACAAGGGAGAGCCAGAGGTACTTTGCCCATTTAGTGTCTCATTTATTTCTTACCTACCTGGACAGCGTGCATTCAGGCGGTGGAGGGAAAAATGGGGACCGCAAAGAGGTATCGACAAAAATACTCAGACTCTTCCGGGGTCTGCATCGCGGAAGGCTGACCTACTATTTTTGCCACTTAGCCACTTGAGTCCAGTTTCTTTCGTCCACCACCTGCATGCGTCTTCAGCTAAGGATACTCAAGCCGTAGGACTAGCCTACTGTTCTTACCGAGCAGCCGAGGTCCTCTGGCTGTCCGAAGTGTCTCGTACGTTTCCGTAGGTAACCTTGGCAGTATTATCACATATCATTAATTTCTTTTTCTTCTTGATTTCGCGCCAGTTCCAAATGTCTACTGTATCATGCAGGTACTGTGGCGATCTCGTCACAGTGAGGCGCGCAGCTCTAGCCCCGCCTCAGACACAGCTCACCCGTCGGAGGCGAACATTGGGATTTGTAATGATTCACGTCCAATGGGCTCCCCTCTGATTATTGAATGATGGTAGATCGACGTGGCGCGGCGACGTGTATCCGTAGATTTGAGGCCAGCGCAATAGACATTTTGTTAGACTTGAAGTTCCCTGTATTTGCAAGAACTAGGGCGCATGTAAATGATAGGCAAGGAGTATATCAAGAATGGAACTCCCCCTCTGTTTCCACGTCAGGCAGAGGAGTTGCAATTCTTCGCTTCAGCCTCTGCTTGCCTTGCTTCCACCTACACCTACGTTCATGTCTCGAAAATCATGCCTGATATAGGAGGCACAATGCAGATTGCCACGAAAATCTCTGCCTCGGCTCCGATCAATACCCCATATAATGGGCCACTTCCGCCACATCGCTGCCTCACCATCCGTGGCTCAGTTTGAGCCTACCTACGATTCCCGTGGTTTCACTCTCCCGAGCCTTGCTTGTTGCGATCGACTTCCATATCAAGTCTATGAGCCGGACAGAAATATCGGCTTCACTTGTGCGGCCATGAGCGGGGGCCCCCTATCCAACGGTATGAGGTTGTGAGTCAGTCAAGTGCTACCAATCGAAGGGAATCGTCGAAATTGCGATGAAAATGATGGCGAGGTGAGGCGAATGATCCACTGAAATATTGACACAATCTCCAATCTCGTTCTAGTCGACTGGTAAGACGGTTTTGCCCCGATGACCATGTCAAGCTGGCAACGAGTCCAACGCGAGCTCTCTCGTCCACTGATAGTGTGTTCGATTCGATTTCACAGACGCGGCTTGCTCTCGAGAGCTGACGAGCGAACCAAATCTATACAATGTCATCCAGGGGATCCATGAAAGCGAGGAGTAGCAACATGACTGGTTCTTGACGTTCTCGGCTCTGACGTTGAGAGGGTCCTCGCCTTGAAAAGGGGCTGGAGCCTGGCGACCTTCTGAGCTTGAGTGGATGAATTCCTCTGAGATTGAGAAGCATCTGTGAAAGAAAGACAGCAAATCGACAGTGTATGGAATGAAGTGGAAGAATCAGAGGAAATGATATTGCCCTCGATCGTGGGAGATGAGTATTGACCCAATCCCCTCCTGAGTTGGGTCGCGCACTGTTTTAAGCCTCAGAACAGGAGCACCGGGCCAGGTAGGGCGACGGCTGGAGCCTCAAAGGTACCCCCCAGTTGACGTACTAGGGTGTAGGGTTGAAAAGCAGCGTAGTGGAGGCTGGAAGTGCATCTATGGCTGACCGACGAAGAGGCCCGGACTTATTATTGCATTGAAGGCGGAAGAAGGCAGCAATCGGGCGCGGAGCCTGTTCGCAATAGTACAGATATTTTGGATATAAGGATGACTCTCCATTTTCTTACAAGTCTTTCCAGTCAGTTTCCTCCTTCCGTCTTCAAGTTTATTACACGCGGAGGGATTGGAGGGCCAACCCTTACCAGTGTGCCACCTCACATTCAGCAACGCCTTTTCTCCAGCGTGGACAGTTCCGCTGGGGACCGTGAGCCTTTTCTCTCTATCAGTGTATCTCTGTATCTCTGCCACTTCGTCTTTTCATCACCGTCTCGATACATATACGTTTTATCTCTTACAAGGTGCGATCTCTAGAGCCCGTGGACCCTCATGGGGGTGTAGGCGCTGACTTGGGAGGATGCGGCTCTGCAGAAACAAGGCAGCTGGCGAACTAGTTCGCAACTTCTTGAACCCCGCCATCCCCGAAACTTGCAAATTTTACCAAGACACCCACAACCAGGTATGTAAGCTACCCCCCCATTGGGGGTGCAGGTGGGGAATTCCGACTTTCCCACACCCGCTCGCCCAGGCTGTAAAGATGATGTCTTTCGCCTTCTCGCGAGAACGTCCTCTCATGGCCTTCATTCATATAAGGCGAGGCCCTTGTGATCTGAATGAATTGCCTTACGGCGCCCCTTTTGCATTTGTTTCGTCGATCAACTGACCAGTTGCTCAGCCTTGCAGCCTTATCCGCGACGCGCTTGTCCAGCCTCGGAACAACGGATCGTCCACGACGCAGCAGCGCTAGCACTGAGCGAAAGTGCATTCACGACTTTCCCATATGATTTCGGCATCCGAGAAATGGACAACATCGCAGACAAATGGGTTGGCTACCTCCGAAACCGAGATCGCCAGGATAAGGGAGGAGGTCCGAACAGTTTCTCATGCCCCGAATGCAACCTCGAGGTTGGGAATAGCCTCGAATCCTGGCAAAATCACGTCGCGTCGGACCCCGAGCACCAACAGCGGTGGCCTACGGAGCAGGAGGTAGAAAATACCTTCAACCAATACGTTCAGCAAACGTGGGTTCCCCCCCAATTTCCCCGACTCTTCCCGCTGTGGCTTTTTTTCTCACAGTTCTCTTGCAGATCGGTAAAGGCCGATGCATCTCGAAACAACCTCAAACGCCAGGCGGGTGAGACACAGGTGTCCAACAACATCGCGCCTGATGACACGCGCGAGGCTAAGCGCCGGTCCCCGCCACCGGCCAATCCTCAGCCGCCATCAAGCCCCCCCAACAATCGAAGTCGAGCCCGAAACGACCCTCGCATCGATCAGGGAAGGCCTCACAAGAATACATCTGGGCGGCAACTCTGGAACTCGGAGGATGGCATACCTCCCAAGACCCCTCAAAGTCAGGGGGGTCGAGCTGTGCCCCTCGCCTCACAAAGGCAACAAACTTCGAACCAGAGCAACCCCATCACGGCGCCTCAGAGTTCGCCCCAGCCTGGGCAAGATGAAGACAATACTTCAGTCATGATACCTCAACCAGAGACCAGGCCTATCTCTCAAGATCAACTAGTTGCCGAAGTAAAAGGCATATATGCCGGTCTCGTCATGGTTGAAACAAAATGCATTGAAGTTGACAATGCTCAATCCTCTAATGCTGAGTCAAATCCTAAGCTCAACAACGACCAATGGCAAGCCTTGATTGCTCTGCACAGAACACTGTTGCATGAGCATCATGACTTCTTCCTCGCCAGTCAACATCCTTCCGCCAGTCCTGCATTGCGACGACTGGCATCCAAATACGCTATGCCTGCGCGCATGTGGCGCCACGGCATCCATTCGTTCCTTGAACTTTTGAGACACAGGCTGCCTGCGTCTTTGGAACATATGCTTACGTTCTTATATCTGGCATATAGCATTGTCGCTCTTTTGTACGAGACTGTGCCCGCCTTTGAGGATACTTGGATTGAGTGCTTGGGAGATTTGGGTCGATACAGAATGGCCATCGAGGACGACTGCATCCGGGACCGCGAGACGTGGACTGGCGTGAGTCGCCATTGGTATAGCAAGGCTTCTGATAAGTCCCCTACCACTGGTCGCCTCTATCACCATCTCGCTATTCTCGCCCGGCCCAATGCCCTGCAGCAACTCTCGTACTATACTAAGTCGCTCTGTGTCCTGATCCCCTTTCCGAGCGCCCGGGAGAGCATCATGACCTTGTTTGACCCAGTATTGAGCAAGAGCCCGAACCGCCTGGCGCCAATTGATGCAGCATTTGTGAGGGCTCATGGCATTCTCTTTTCTGGAAAGTCCAGGGAGAGGCTTCAAGAATCGATGGACGAATTCATTGAGCAGCTCGACAGCTATATTGGACGTGTTACAAAGAGGTGGCTGGACGCAGGGTGAGTATCTTGATACCGTTTCAGAGGACATTTGCTAATTGAACCAGATATTATATTGGCATTTCCACCGGTTGCTCTCTTCTGGGCTATGGCACTGAATCGAATGTGCTCATGCGGGCCATGTCACAGAAGCCTGAAGAGACAGATGTTGCTATGGACGGAAGCACAATCGCAGAGGCCAGTCCGGATGAGACCTTCAAGCAGGCCCTTAGCTTTGCAATACGCATCACCGAGACGGTAATGAGGCGATGGGGAGACACCAACACGCTGCCATTCCTTCACACCATGCTGGTATTCATGAACCACATGACGCGATTCCCAGGGGCCATTTCTCACATTGAAGGGGTTTTCCCATGGAAGCTAACATCTCTGATGCTCAACTCCCTCCTGGTATCATGCGAGGCTGGCTATGAAGTACACTCCGATTTCCGACGTCCTGAGAGAGAGTTGCCCCGGCCTCTCCCCGAGGACTTTGCCATGCGCGGATTGATCTATTCAGAGGATTACTTCCCTAGCGATTGGTTCAAGAACGACAAAATTGATGAGGATGAGAAATATTTTGAGCTGGGGTCCATGGTAGAAGAGAGAAAGGATCGCATTCTCTCTCTGGGCTGCAAGATGGCCACCTCAGGATCCTGGCTTATCTGGAACCCAGACACCCGTCAATTCACCGTCCCGGCCAAGTATGATGTGGAACTGGAGGATGTCCCAGCCTGAATTCTCACCGACAGCCTGGCAGAAAGAAAGATCAGCTTCTCGCTGAGTCTAAGAGGAGCGAATCTCCACCTTTTATGCCGGGCGGGTTGGAAAGGGAAGGCATACTGGGACATTGTTCAGGAAATCTACCTCTACAATGAGTGGTTTCCCCTCGCAGTGGCTGGGGTCCAGAGTTACAATTACAACCACTCTAAAGCGGGAACGACTGTAGCGATCTCGGCGACTCACAGCTGTGAGCCCTTGTCCCTAGCACCTTTCCTTCTAAGCCCGGCAGGAGAGACGCTACTTGTGGCGAAGCGAGAGTGCCAAAAGCATTCTTGGCGAAGCTTTCTTTCTGTCAGGCTGGGAATTCAGACGACACGACACACATTCTCTTCGCATCCGCATTATTCAACACACGTTGCCTCCTTACAGGATTCAACCGGCAACTTTGGTCACTCATATACGTTGGCAGTTTTACGGGGGCCTTCCATGGCTTCGCACTGCTGTGCATGCAAATTGTTACTGACATGTTGTTTCCAGACTGCATTCCTTGGTTTCTTTGTGGCTTTTCTTTCCTTCTCTTTGCTTTTCTTTGCTCTTCTTTTGTTTTCTTTCCTTTTCTTTGCTCTACTTTCCGATGATGTCCTTTCCTTGGGGTTCCTTTTCTTTCCTTTCCTTGTCTTGGCTTATTCTGGTGACCAAGACCCCTGTTCTTGTTCAGAGACAGGCGAACACAGAGGGCGTTATTCGATAGATTTAGTAAATTTCTACATCAAAATAAAATTAAGTAAAGAAATGCATTTTCCTCCCGCTCGGATTGGTGTCCAAACTCTGGATCTGCCCCCAGTGGCCAACTCCCAACAGCGCACTTGGCGTAGGCGTGTAAAGTCTGAGGCACCGAAGCAACGGCGCGGAACAATGCGTACTCCGTAACACGGGCGACTGGTAAACATGTGGCGTCACGAACCGGTTCGTCAACAATGACGTACCCCTGTCAGGAGGGGCGAGCCATTGTTTTCAAACCGTGAATGTGACGTGACGTTCAGCTCCGAGTAGTACCTGTTTTCACAGGTGAATCACTCGGTAGGCACTGGGTGGCAGCGAACCAAAAGGGGAAGTGACCCCTGTTCGTCGTCCCTTGATGTGATTTGACAAGGTGTACCTTTGAAATGGCCATTGCATGCACAATTATGCCACCCATTCACGTCTAATAGATTCATGGATATCTACGAATGGCATACCTAGAAGTAACCCAATAACATGGCATTCCACTCCGTTATTCACCACGTTTCTGGAGCTGTCAAAAGCACAGCGGGAGCGGGCCGCGAGGGAAGTGGAGCCCAGGCCCCCAGGGGGACAAGAGGACCCTGCATAACGTTCCAGTCACTTGGGACGAGATGGACAAATTGGGGGCCAGGAATCACAATCAGGCTGCGGGCGAGAGTTGTAACCGCCCGCACCCCAGGAATGTGATCCATAATGCCCTATTTAGGCAATCAATTGTCTCTGCCATGGTGTGCGTTCGTTTGATTTTCTTTTGGTCACAAATGGTGTCGCTGACGTAGTTCTTGATGTCGTGGATCGGACTGAACATGGCGCAGCAGAGGAAACATGATTTGCAGGGGTGTTTGACTACGCGTCACGGCGTGTGTGGCTGGTGAAACGCGGGGGAAAGGGGTTGCACGTTCATTCGCCGTCCTCGCACCTCTGGAAGCCGAGTCGGAAGCACGAACTCGGGTCCCGATCCAATAGATAGAGGGCTCAGTTTATACATGGTATTTGGGGTCCATGGATTTCTTATGGGATGCTTCGGGCATCACTCATTTACCCGAAGCTGAGGTTACTGTGAGGCCTGCTAATTCTTGATGGCCTCATCACACGTGTAATTTCACCGACGGCTTGATTGAGGTCGATAAACATCAGCTAGGGTTTGGATGATGGCCCCCTTTAATGTGCTTTGGCGCCTTGATACGAACAAAAGTGCAAGTCCACAACTGAAGCTGAAGATGGCCACAGCCAAAGTCGCGATGGCCTCACATGAATACTACCCATAGCCTTTTCGTCATGGTGCACGTCTTCACTGTCACACACTTGTAGCTCTCAATTACGGGCGTGTTTTATAACAGCGCCCGTCTTTCAATGCAAGGCAAATTGCACATGTCAGTGATATTCCTGGCCTCGCTGTGGTGTTACCAATGGCTTGCTTGTGACTGCGCTGTCTTGTTCGGTGTCACTCATCCCGTAGTTCTCAGTGACAGCCACACATTCTGCCGGCGTCTATATTGAGATATCACACGATTGCACATGTTGATCCTTGGGCTATTTTGGGATGACCTCAGTGATGTGATGTTACCCATAGCCAGCTTGTGATGGTGCAGTCCCGTTCACTGCCACGCACTTTGTGAATCATAACGACGGGCGTGCCTTTTGCCGGCGCCTATCCCTGGAAACAAGGCAACTGTGTACGTTGGCTTTTTAGGAATATTGAGGATGACCTCGCGGCAGTGCTACTAAGGGCTTGAGGTGTTGGCGACCTGACGTTTGAACCCTCAGCCACGCAGCTTACGAAACCCCCTGGAAAGCTTCACGTCAGCGTCCAAGTTTGGATCCAAGACAATGTGAAGATAGTAGGGATGGCCTCGTCACGGCTGAAGTTGTTGGCCTAGTCATGGTTGAAGGTTGTTGGCCATGTCAGTTGTGCACTCAGCCACACAGCTTCATAATAATGACTCCTATCTTTAGATGAGGCAACCGCTCCCGTTCCTGGAGGATCTTACCGAGGAGGTGATAGGATCGTGGCTGTACATGAACCGGTGTGATTGTGATTAGCGACAAACCTCAAAATCGGGGGATTGATCATCTGCATCCGCAGTGACACAACTTGACGCAGTAATCGTCTCGGATAGAGCATGCGTTGAAGATTTGAGCGTTTAGGCCATTCTTTGCAGCCATGGAGAGCTTTGCACGACAGGGTGTGATGGACGCTTTCCTTTAGTCCATGCTTCGATTGAAGACTCGGGGAGTGCATCATGGCTGCCAAGTCAACCAGCCATCGTGCTCACCAGCCACCATATCAACCAGTTACCGACTGAAGGCCTCAGTCATCACTGGACAGTTCCCCAAGCAGGTCCTGAACATTTTGCAACCAAGTCCTAGACACCTCAGTCATCATTAAGGCTTCTAGAAACTTTGCGATGTTGCATTGCATGGGAATAATCTCGGAGGCCGCGGCAATTTGACAAGGCAACTACCTACATATCCATACGCCCGCCAGGCTCCGTAAGCTTCCATGCTTACATGATGAGGCCCGAGATCCTCGGGACTTTCTATTGCCGTCAAAGCCCGAACTGAGTTTTAAGTCCCGCGAGGCTTAGAAGAAGCAAAAGCTAAAGTCCGGCATCGTCGCAAGGCGTCCGTCGAAAGAACCAAGCGAGAAAAAAAAAAAAAAAGGCAACCGCTAGACAGGCCATGGGCGCAGCCTCGCTTGGCCATGTGACTCTCCACGCTTAGACGAGGCTGTCATAGTTTTCCTCCTCACCGCAAATGCGTTCGGTCAAATGCCTTATCGCGTGGGGGATGAAGGCAGCAGCATAAAGTAGCACTACGTGTTCCGACCCAGCTGGACTTCTATCTGCAATGTTAGCACGATATACTGTTCACGACCATGTTGGGATCACGTTGTGTTGATCAACAAGTCCTCTTGCTCGGTGAATAAAGCGTCGAGTTTGCCGAGTGGGTTGTGCAAAATGGGCCCGGCGTGTCGAGGGCCCCGGGCGGCGGCTAATCATGGCTGTGTGTGCGGTGCGTGGGTGCCTCGATACTGTAAGTCCTTGGGAGATGTTTCCCTGAAGTGCAGGTCTGGGTTTCACTGAGCGTCAGACAAATGGAGACATGAGGCCTTCTCCCCTCACACGTGACAACACCAAGACATTGTGTGTTGCGCTCGAAGCCGGAGATCGCGAATGCGCGATAACATCTTCCTTATCAATCATGGCATCCCTTACGTTTGGTTGAAACCACTCGAGTTCAAGGCTGGAACATGTGATGTCACGTCGGTATTGCGTGTTCGATCTGCCCACCCTCATGAACAAGCTGCCTTGCAGCTGTGTACCTGGTTCGCCCCGGCCTGAGGCTCAACTTCCTTGACGAAATGTCCCCCCGCAGATTACCTTGCTTAGTTACCCGGGCTGTCACCGCCTGGGTGGGTGCACAGCTTACTCGACACGAGTGGTTCATGCGAGTTCCCGCTTCAAGACTCTGCTGCCCGTGAGAATCCCGTCATAGATCTGGGAGCGAAGGAGTTTGGGTCAACTGTACGACCTCGGATGCCTCTGTCCTACATGCCGAGAGGAGAGAGACTAGAGGCTCAAATGTGACCCAACCATGTGCGTCGATGAGCTCGGGCGGGATACTGGATTCGAGCAGGCTGGCATTCCTTAGAAGCTGTTGTGTTGTGCTGTACTGCATCCTGACTCTGTAGTGTTGGTATAAACTGCAGAAGCTACCCACTTGTGTTCCCTGCTTGCGAGAGGAGAAAACGAGGCAGGGCTTACGCTCTGATCGTCCCCCAATCTCAGACCCCCCCATGAGTTATTTTGTGAAGCATTGCATCACTCGTTTATCAACCCTCTTTTCAATATGGATGCAACTGAGGATGCGTAGTGTGTTCAGCCGCATGCAGGTCGACCAATTAATCAACACAAGCGTGGCAAGGCAACCGTCTGCCTCAAATGTGCCCCATAGAGGACCCAATCAGTCATCCACAATTCGTCAATGCAATGCAGGCAAAAGTCTTTTCCCTGCTTAACCAGACCATATTCAGTAAAAAGATCCCATCCCATTACGAGGCTGTTTCAATCTGCCCTTAGGTAACCCTAGCGTCACCTTGATGCTCCTTACTCAATCCCATTAGCCGACTCGGCTGTGTGGCTTCAAGCAGGCTCTCAGAAAACCCGAGCTTGAAAACTGCAAGAGAGGGGGAGAAAATTTTGCACCAAACGGGCATCCCGGCTTCAATTGTGATTTCTTGTAAATTTCGGGCGTGGGGAGGCATTCAATCGGTTGAGGG